TGGAGTCAGGGCGCGCCGGGCTCGGGCCTCAGCCCGGGGGCGCCGAAGGCGGTGGGCGCGGAGGCGCAGGGACGAGTCCCGCTTGCAGGTTTTCTCGGGCTTGTCCTTCCCTCCCCGAGGGTCCGAGGGAAGAAGCCAGCGTGGCGCCTCTCTCTTTCTAAACTTAGAGTCTCCTCACCTCCTAAAAGACTTATTTGATTGCCTGTTTACTGGCAATAACGACTTGGATACAATTATTTTTTTAAAGTAAGTGGAAAGCATATGTGGGCAGAGTTGGCATGAGTAGAATTTTCTGGATAAATCCGTAGGTACAGTAATTTCCAATTTTTGAGGAGTGGTGTACATTTACAAAACTTACCAAGTGTGGTGTCACCTCTAGTAATTCCTTTTTATCCTCAAAAATAGCCCCTTTGCAGAGAGATTAATAAGGTAAAGTCGAATAAGGTAACTGAAAGTCTGAAAACGGAGCTGGGCTGTTTTAAAAGAATTAGAATTCAAACTATATTCTTAACATTAAAGTTATACTGTCCGTATTACAGTATTTTAATGATTTAGGCTGTATTTCAGGCTTTTTTTTTTAGGTCTCAGAGTCATTAAAAACACAATTATTCTTTTATAGAACAGGGCAGTGGAAATTGTGAGAGTCAGGCCAAATCTATAGGTATCTTGGAAAACAACTGATCCTATGATCCTTTAGAGATTTATTTTTGGAATAACCAGCAGATGTAGGCTTGTTGCTTGTCATTTCTCTCTTTTAAGAAAAGTGCTGTACAAGAAGAAAACCAAGTTAGCCGAGCTTCTCTTTTTTTACTGGATCTTGAAAAACTGGAAGTTTGCTGCACTCAATATGTTACACAGGGCCAAGTCATTGAGTTTGAATCAGCAATGATTGTCCTGCCTGGAGTGAAAGTGGGAAAAATCCTGCATAGTTAATTTCCTTATTTCCATTTCCTTGATGCTGGCTCCACTTGTCTTTGTAACTTCTGGTTGGATTTTATGGTATAGTCCTCAAATTACAAAGATTCACAGTTCAGGCCTCCTTCACAGATGAGGAAACTGAGTCCAGAGAAGTGAGCGTGAAGTTACACGGCTCATGAGAGACAGAACTAGGAGCCCAGGCTGGGGTCCCTGCTGGCTGTCCTGGGAGTGCCCTGGGCTGTGTTTGGGTTTCTGTCTGAAAGCATACGGAGGAAAGAGTTCATTCACACCAGTGGGAATCAGCAGCCTTAGAGTGGCATGCGTATTATTCCGCATCCTGACCACAAGACAGTTGTCAGCTGGGTCCCCAAGTAATCTCTGAGGACACAGGAAAGCCAGTGTCTTTTAAGATCCTCTAGTTAACTTTGACGCTGAAAATCCGTGTTTGCCACAAAGGGCAAAACAAAACAGAATTAAAGCCGGGGAGGAGCTTGAGCATCTCCTCACAGGGGCTGTGGCGCTCTTCCCGTTGTGAGAGGCTGGGCCGTGGGTGCTGTCCCGGGGGGTCGCGTGTGAGGGGCAGCTGGGGAGATGAGTGCCCGGTGAATCCAGTGGGCAGACAGCATCCACACCTGGGCCAGCAGGACAGTCAGTTCCCTGCTGTCCTTCCTGAGGTGGGGCCTTTTCAATTTTGGCCTCCCCTAAGCTTATCTGCAATCCCCGGGATGAGGCTTCTACCCCTGGGAGGCTCTCCGTCGGTTCAGCATGTCTGTCGCTGCAAGAATTTGCTGGTTTTCATTCCGAAAAATCACATATGGTACCTCATCCTGATGGTGTTCTGATTCTGGGCTCACAAAGAAACTCCACTGTCCTGGTGGAGTACACTAGAGCCAACTTAGAGCCAGACTGCCCAGCTCTGCCACTTGCCGTCATCTTCATCTGTAAAATGGGGTGATGGGGACTGAACTTGAAGGATTATTGTGAAGGTTAAATGAGTGACTGCACGTCAAGTGCTAGGGTAGTGGCAGCACAGTCACGTCACTCTTGTATTGAGAGTACTCTGGGTGGGGTGAGGGGAGGAATGAGCTTTGGCACTGGCAGGGTTTTGGTTTTTAGGCTCTACCCACAGGGTCACTGTTGCTAGGATTCACTCCATTCAAAATGGGGTGAGAGTGGAAGCCTCAAGCTTCAGTGGGCTGCTGCTTTTCTACCATGTTTATTTCTCTGAAAGTGAACCGCTGGAGTCAAGGAATGTGCCCACATAAGGACATTTACTGGAATGTCAAGGAGCTATTCACTTGGGTTTCTTACCACTTCATCTCAGAGCTTTGGAGTCAAGTGTGCCAAGGAACTCGGTTTTTCCTGTGGTTCCTGTCATCGGCAGATAAGAGCTCAGCCTCTTGAAACCTCTCTTTGGTGTGGATGTAGTTGGCCTCACTGCTGGAGATGCTATTAGAACCCAAAAGTCAAGAAAGCGTTACAGGACATCAGTTCTGTGGCTGTTATAGCCTTTGAGAGTCACCTCAAAGCAAAATACAAAGCTCTCAAGGGAGCCTGGGATGGGTATGCCTGACTGAGTTAGAGTCAGACACTGCTTTTAATTCTTTTTTAATTTTCTCTTAATGTTGGGTTCCATTTGCGTTCCAGTAGTTGAATGCTGCAGATTATAGGATGCAGTCAACAAGAATAATAGTAGCCTCAGTAAAGGTCCCTGCTACACAATGAACACTTAGTGAATCTGACCACTGTGGCCTGCCCCCGCTGTTGAGCATGCTTGTCTCAAAAGACTGGTGTGAGTCAAGAAACAGCTTGGCGAGGAAGAGGAAGAGGGGGAGCTGAAGGAGACTCTAAGCGGGAGTGGGGAGTGTCGTAACCTGGCTGTGTGAGTGAGAAGGTGAAAGAACGAGGAGGACCGTGGTATCGCTGACGGGTCTGAAGGTTAAGAGCATTTGAACTTAGTGTGGAGAAGCAAGATAGCTGAAAGGGCATGGTTAGATGGTGAGATTATTGAGGCATTGTAAGCACCAAATTATTAATCAATTTCTTAGAACAAAGGTGATTCTGAAAAGTCGCTTTTGGGTAAGCTTTCGTGTATCCTATTTATTAAAGCAAATTAAAAGTCTTTTTTTTCCAGAATGGAAATGTAGACATAATTTCCTTCTTATTACAAAAGTATGAGGGTTTTCTGTTTTTTAAAAAAATCAACCAATAGAAATGTATAAAGTAGAAACCTCAGTAGAATTGCCACGCCACTCTTCCAGCAGAACCACTGTGAAACCACTTGTGCATGCATGAGTCGGTTGTTTCTTTTTCAAGGAGCCCTCTAGTAAACTCTTTCATAAAGCAAGGATCCTTTGTGAGGAACCTAGTCACCTCTTCATTCCTCCAGTTTATCTGGTCTGTAAATTTATTTTATTTTTTTGTGAGGAAGATCAGCCCTAAGCTAACATCTGCCAATCCTCCTCTTTTTTTTTTTTTGCCGAGGAAGACTGGCCCTGGGCTAACATCCGTGCCCATCTTCCTCCACTTTATATGGGACGCCACCACAGCATGGCTTGACAAGCAGTGCATCGGTGCATGCCCGGGATCCGAACCGGTGAACCCCGGGCCGCCGCAGTGGAGTGCACGCACTTAACCACTTGCGCCACCGGGCCGGCCGCAGTCTGGTTTGTAAATTTAGATTTCATTAAATTGGGTTATCTGGAAGAGGTGCACCTAAAACCTGGTGACCTTCCAGAATGTATATGAATGTTCTCTCTTGCACCTGCAGTGTTTTCATGGTTCTGGTAGGTCGTTTGGAAATTGCGTTGTCCTTTTGTGAAGATGAAAGTACATAATTGTGTTTATTTAGTGCTACTTTTAAGGGGAAATGGGAAAATTGCATTGTGGTCTAATTTTTATTTCTTTTTTTTTTTTCCCTGAGCATCGCTCTGGTTTGGTTTGGTTTGGGGTAATTCTGAAATCTCAAAAATGGTATTTTCTTTTGAAATAAGTTGTTTGGAGGGAGCCTTTTCATTTCTTCCTGTGGCTTTTTTTTTCTTTAATTCTTTTCTCAGCCATACACTTGGTTTGTTAGACCCTGAGGTAATAATATGTTTGTTTAGTTGGGAGAAGACCAAACCTCTGTTAATTTTTTTGTTTCCCTGAGATTGACCTGTAAAAAGTTAGGGTTTGTTTTGCTTTTTGATAAAGTATCTTTGGAAATTATGGGGTGGAGGTTACACAAACTCTTAACAAAGCATGCCTCAGCTTTTCTTCTCTTTTCCTGAAATGAAAGGCGATACTGTATTTCCTCCAAGCTTTTTTCATAAACCTGTCCTTGCCCAGCGTCTACACATGTAATACTGCCTGCTCTTTGGCTGTTGCTCTTTGCAGGTTCATGAACGACATTTTGAACTGGATGTTTGGTGCCAGGAACCAAGAGCCAGTTTGCTGAATTGCTGTCCCTGTCATTCTGGATTGCTGAGAGTCTCCAGGAAGGTCTGTGGGTTCGTCCCAGCGCCCGCCCAGGTGGAGGCACAGCTGGAAGCTATTTTTGAGAACTTTTGCCACAGGTGTAAAAGGCGCCAGCCCTGCAAAGATGCTGAAACAGATACTGTCGGAGATGTACATAGATCCTGATCTGCTGGCAGAGCTCAGCGAAGAACAGAAACAGATCCTGTTCTTCAAGATGCGGGAGGAACAGATCCGCCGATGGAAAGAAAGAGAAGCAGCAATGGAAAAAAAGGAGTCCTTGCCAGTGAAATCCAGACCAAAGAAAGGTAAACTTAGCTGTGTCTCTGCTGTGAAGGTGTTAGTGGAATGGCTGCTGGCTTGTAACATTTCACACTAGCCAGAATCAAGCCAGGTGTGAGTTCCAGTGTGGTAGCTGGACCTTAAACGTTGTTGAGATTCTAATAGTGCAGTTTATCAACTTGCAGTCTACACGCACAGCCATTACCATGGAGTTGTGTAGCCGTGAGCAGATCTCGTACTTGAAACCAGACTGACCTTAAGCTGAAGTGAGAAGTCACCTGTCTACCCCCTTATCGTCTCAGGTGCCTAGTATTGTGCTACAAGCATTTAAAGTCCTTGTATCAGCATCTTGATAACAATTGTGTTTGTATTTCCTTAGACTTTAAGAGATTTTTCTTTGAGTTACCTTTTTTAGGGAAACTCCCTCTTAAGATGCAAATACTGCTGTAAGGAAAAGGTCATAATACTAATTTTTTAGTGTGAGTTAATTTTTCAGATGTACTTCTTCCTGATCCAAGGAATCCTTTGGATTCCTAATCCCAAGGAGTAGCTTGAGAGGGGCTTTTGAGACCATGGGAGAGGAATTCTTTGTACATCAAGATTTAAAGCATATGCACACACATGGAGAAGCACACATTAACCACCCCTGTCTTCCCCCCCCACCCAGGTTCTGTCATAGATGAATACCTGAGTTGTTTAAAAAAAAAAAAAAAAACAGTTTTCAAGGTCACTTACAGAGGCATTCAAGACCAATTTCTCCTTGTTTTTCATTAAGCCAGGAAAAACAAAATTTGATAAAACCATTCAGGGTTTTAAAGATTAAGAAAATGAATCTCACTTGCAGGCTGGTGTATACACAGTCTCAAAAGGGAAGACAGAGGGCCTTCCCAGTGGCGTAGTGGGTTAAGTTCGCCCTCTCTGCTTCGTGGCTCAGCATTCACAGGTTTGGATCCTGGGCGTGGACCTACGCACTGCTCATCAAGCGGTGCTGTGGCGGCATCGCATATACAGAATAGAGGAAGATGGGCATGAATGTTAGCTTAGGGCTAATCTTCCTCAGCAAAAAGAGAAGGATTGACAATGGATGTTAGCTCAGAGCCAGTCTTCCTCTAAAAGAAAAAAAAAGGGGGAGTCAGTTTAGTGATCTTTACCTTATGCTGCCTTTTATTAAAACCTTTTTCCAATTAAGCCTTTATAATGATGTCAATAAATATGAATATCTCCTTTATTATTATTATTATTGTTATTATTATCATCAATAGCAGCTATTTATTAAATACCAGTTTTGTCAGACTCTATGCAAAGCACTTTTATATACATCATCTCATCTTCGTAAAACTTCCATCAAATTGGTATTAATTGTCCTATTTTACAGATGAAGAAACTTAGAATCAGAGAAGTTAAGTAATATATGCAAGGTCACACCACCAGTAGGTGCCCAGATCCATTGGATTTCACAGTATTCTACACTATCCCATATAGAATTTTTCCTTCAACAAATAACATGTCCAAACTGACACAGGACCCTTTTATCTTTCTGAACTGGTTAATGCATCTCCTTGCGTTCTTTAGTCAGAGTTTATCAGATATAACGGTCCTCTTTGGGCCCCATGTTCATTGTGACATAACATACTGATGTGGTGGGTGACTTTGGGAACTGGTGAGAGCTGAGGGGTTCTTGCCCCTAGAGTCAATGGCCCAGACTCTTTGTAAGACTTTTTGCTTCTTGTTTGCTGAATTGGTCTCCTTGTCATGACTTAAGACAGTAATTTCTGTTTCTTTGCTTAAATTCTTCCTTTGCAGAGTTTTGAATCTAGTTCTCAGAAAACCTATATTACTTTATTAATTAAATGATCATGAAAAAAGTATGTAAATATACACAGTGAAAGTTCTATCAGTATTTCATGTCAGAACTTTATTACTCTCTTAGATTTAACACTTGGAAAAACATATTTTGCACTAACGTAGTTCCTCTTCTAACTACAGAAAAGGAAAAGGTTTGAAATTCTTTACCTATTTCCCCTAAAAAGACAGCGCTAATCTGTCTTTCACCTAGTTCTGTCTTTGATGATAAAGCCACAGAGAGTACAAAGCAGCGTCATCATGGCTGGTGCTCCCCAGAGGTGTGTCTGGACTGCAGACCTACTAAGCTCCTGGCTATTGTTTGTTGAGACCTCACTGTGTGTTTCTGCCTCCTTTCAGGTCTGTGCCCTGCCTCTCCAACTCCTGCCGCCCCTGTCCCCACCACCCCGACCCCCACCCCTACCCATACCCAGCTTGTACCAGGCTTACTCAAGGGCCGCTTTTTCTTAGCAGTTCTTAGCCAGGCTGCGGCTTTGGAGATTGTCCTTTTCGTGGCTCATTAAATATGTCTGTGCTCATCCCCCATTCCTTTACACCATTCCAGCTCATCACTTAGCAGTTCTTTTGTTGTCGTCTGGTCACCTTTTTCTCTCTACAGTCCACTGTGGTGAGTTTTCAGAGCATCACTAAAATGTTTGTATCTCGTGTATCCCAGGAACCTGTCCACCTTTTAGTAATCTTAAGGCTAAAGTAGGAGGGGCTGAAAAACAATCAGAAGTATGGATTTAACTCAGTAATAGATCAGATAATCATGTCAAAATGTAGCGGGAAAATGTGATTCTCAGAGAGTCAGGGAATTTGGGACGTCCTCTGCCTGCTGGGGTACCTGTAACTAGAGCTCTGGCACTGCGTTGTCCGCGTGGCAGCCACCAGCTCCACGTGGCTGCCAAGCGCGTGAACTGAGGCTGGCCTGCACTGAGGTGTGCTAGAAGTGTAAATTACCCGATTTCAAGGACTCAGTAGAAAGAAAATCATGTAAAATACCACGTTAATAATTTTGTATGCATTATATATTAACATGATAATTTGGATAACTTGGGTAAAATAAAATATATTAAAATTAATTTCATCTGCTTCTTTTGATGTTTTATGGGGCTACTAGAACATGTGTAAAACAGATGGCACTCACATTTGGACAGCGCTGCTGTAGACAAAAAAGTAGCACCAGCCAGCGTTTATTGAGCTGATGGTGTATCAGACCCTGAGTTCAGGGCTTAAGTATGTTATCTCATTAAGTAATCACAGCCAAGCCTGAAGCTGGATTGCTGTTCCCATTTTGCAGATGAGGAAAGTGAGGCTGAGGGACGTTAACTGACTTGCCCAGGGCAACAGCTAGGAAGTGATGGAGCTGGACTAGACCCTGAGCCCGACTCTCCCACAGCTGGAGCGGTGGACAAATACGCTACCTGTCGGGCTTACGTGGAGCGTGCTAACAGTTGCTGTTGTCTGCAGCTGCCTTGCATACATCTAAAACGTATGCTTCCTTCCAGGCGCTGCCGTGGAGCCTTTATTCTGTATGATTTTTTCCGGTAACACAAACAGAGCAGGCCTTCACTAGTAGAGGGTTGCCCAGCTCTTGTTTCACTGGGTTTCTCTCAAGCCGATGGAAACCTCATGCACCAAGTTGGGATCTGGTTGCTCTGGGAGGTGCGGGAGGGGCTCCACGGGTGCCCTTGAAACAGACTTAGACTCGCAAAACTTCATTTGCGGGATTCTCATTGTTAACCAAGTGGGCAGGTTCCTTTATGCAAAGCCTTCCCTTTCATGAAATGATGGTAAAGCAGTTGGTTTGTGCCGCGGTGTCTCCTGCTCCCCTCTCTTCACCCTCGGCCCACTGTGGTGCCTCCGTTGCTGGATTCAGTTCTCGTCTCAGTGAGTTTCTCAGCTGGGTCTCACTCTGTTGAGTTGCCTCCCAGAGTCTCTCTTTTTCTTGGGGTCATGGGTCTCTTGCTCTCTCCTTGATTGTTTCTTTTTCACGTCTGCCTGAGCCCTGAATATCCGTGTCCCCCGGGGCATGCCTCACTCTGCATTCGTGGTTTGGGACCTTGAGATGGGGTTGAGGGGCTCGTGGACTCCTTTGAAAATGCACTGAAAGCTTGGACCTAGGAAAATGCACACAGACGACATTTTGTGTGTAGTTTCACAATGTTCACTGACTCCCAGGTTCATAGATCCTAGGCTGAGGTTAAGGTCTCTGTGTCATCTCCCTGGAGCACCCCTTCTGCCTTTTAGGGTTAAACAGCACCTGTGTGCCAGTGACTCTCAAACCCATATTGCCGAGCCAGATCTCTCACATGAGAGTCAGTCTCAGTGTCACTTACCTAATGAGCATCTCTGCTCAGAAGACCCATAAGCCCTGCAAACCGAGTTCATCAGCATCCCCCAATTCTCCCCACCACCCCAGGCCTGATCCTGCCCCTCATTCTCTATCCTGGTCGGTGGCACTGCTCCCTCCCTGTCACCAAAGCCAGAAAACCTGGGAGCCACTCTCGCTACTCCCTGACCTCATCCCTGCAGATTTTACTTCGTCTGCTCCGTTTCATGGAGCTTCCCCTCACCAAGGTACTGGTCTATTAGTATGTGCCAACCATAATAAGCATTGTATTGATGTTATTTCATTTAATCCTCACAAGAATCCAGTGAGGTAAACGTTGTCCCCTTATTCTTACAAATAAGGAAACAAACTTAGAGAAAATAATTTGTATGGGTCACTGGTGGAGTCAGGATTTGAACTCGGTCTATTCCAAACCACTGGTCCTGGTCCCATCTCCTGCCTTAGCATCTGTGTCCCTAACTCAGAGCTTGGTAATTAACTGGGCTTGGTTTCTTCGTGGCGAGTACCCATATGTGAGTAACAGCTGAGCTCCTCTTCCCTTTCGCCTTCTTGAGCCCACGGATTCAGTGGGTCCGCTCTCCTGACTCTAGTTCTCACTTATCTAGACCCCCACGTGCTTCCCCAGACCTTAGCGCCTGCTGCACGAGTTCTGCAATGTCCTTTCTGTCCTTTCGTCTCTAAGCGTGAAGATTTACTGAAGTTTTACAAGACGGCCGTCAGTGTTAGTAACTATAGGATTATTACCCAGGTTAACAAATCGAGCAAACAATGGAAAAAGCAACAAAGTAATTTCAGGAAGTCCCGAGAGGACTGAGCCTTGGTCTTTAT